CCAAATAAAAACAAAATTCCATTCACAATAGCCACAAAAACTGAAATACCTTGGCATTCACCTTACCAGAGAAGTGAAAGACTTTTACAATGAGAACTCCAAATCACTGCTCAAAGAAATCAAGGATGATGCACAAAAGTGGAAAAACATCCTATACTGATGGACCGGAAGAATCAATAGTTTCAAGATGTCCATCCTACCCAAGGCAATCTATAGATTCAATGCAATGCCCATCAAATTACCAACATCATTGTTCACAGACCCCAAAACAATAATAAAGAAATTCATTTAGAAAAAATAAAGAGCATGAATAGTCAAAACAATTCTCAGGAAAGCGTACGAAGTGGGAGGTATCACACCTCCAGACTTTAAACTTTATTATGTAGCTACAGTAGCCAAGCCTGCATCGTATTGTACAGAAATAGGCACTTAGGCCAATGGAACAGGACAGAGATTCAGGAAGTAAAAACCCATTCTCTAAACCAACTCATCTTCAACAAAACCAATAGCAATCACTAGGGAAAGGAGACTATATTTAGCTAACGATGCTAGGAAAACTGGCTAACTACATGCAAAAGAATGAAACTGGGCCTCTGCCTATCACTATACACAACAGTCAACCCCAAATGGATCAAGGACCTAAATGTTAAACCTCATACTATATGAATCCTAGAAGAAAACACAGGAAAGACTCTTTTGGACATCAGAGTAGGAAATTAATTCATAACCAAGACCCCAAAAGCAAATGGTACAAAAACTAAAATAGACTCTTTTTCTTTTGATAAAATGGAAAATCAACTTAAAATATTCACAGGTGAACATTTCCTGTGAAATTCATTTTATTGTAGTAATATGTAGGTTAACAACATAGTGGACACATGAGCTCTGGACTCAGACTTCCAGAGTTAAAAATCCTGGCTCTATGATTTATTAGCCGTATATCCTTAAGCAAGTTATTTAATCTCTTTGTATTTTTTTCTCACCTGGAAAGTTAGGGTAATTATAGTACCTACCTCATGGAGTTATTGTGAGAATTAATTATGACAATACATGTAAAGCTGCTCACATAGTTAGAATCAATAAATGACAGCTATATTTGTTATATATTTCTGATTATTCGTGTGTATATTCAAGGAATTATCCAGATAATTCAAAACTCCGAATAAATGAGTAAAAAATTATATATACTTGTGAACCAGGCTTTTACCTATATTATTATTTCATACCATTGATTCTCATGATCTGTTATATATAAACTTTTTTATCTTCACAATATTTATTTTATTTATTTTTTGAGTTGGAGTCTCACTCTGTCGCCCAAACTGGAGTGCAGTGGCCGCGCCTGGCCACCACAGCCTTGACCTGCTGGGCTCCGGCGATCCTTCCGCCTCAGCCTTCCAAGTAGCCGGAATTACAGGCATGCGCTACCATGCCCAGCTGATTTTTTTTGATTTATTGTAGAGATGAGGTCTCGCTGCCCAGGTGGGTCTCGAACCCATGGGCTCAGTCAATCCACTCACCTCAGCCTCCCAAAGGCACGGGATTACAGGCTGAGCCACAGAGCCCAGCTCACAGTATTTATTATCCACTTTGCTTCATCCTACCACACAAAAGTCCAAATTCTATACTGCCATTTAAAGTGCTCCATATTCTAGGCCTCTGACTTTTACAACCTTGTTAATTTCTGTTCCCTTCTATATTTTAAGCTAAATTGCAGTATTCAGTACTGGTCAACTCCCAACTTTTTTTCTTTTCAACCCTTAGCATAGGAGGATTTCCAACAAAAATGCTTACTCTTCTTCTATATTTGGTGTCAACTTGCAACTTTTCCATCATGCAAGGCTAAGTTCAAATGCAATTTCTCACATCAAGGAAATTCACCCCCTCCCCCCAACTCCAGAAGATCAGGAAATCTGCTAGTCTATGTTAACAGTTTCTAGAATTTTGCTGCCCTTCTTTCTCCTTTGTGTTTAATTTGATATTCAGCTTCTCTAACACCAATTGTTCTCTACTTTATTAATTCTGTACATTAGAAATGCTATGCATATAATTTGCTTGGACAAAATAATACTTATGAAAAATAGAAAATAATTTTCTGTCCTAAAACAAAATTGTGGTTGATGATTAAAGCATCAGTAAAATAAAGGGCTTTACTTAGTCATTGGTAGTAAGTTTGAAAGTTTGGAAGATGAATTAACCCTTTAAAGTCTTAGAGCATAATAGCATACTTTTACTTATAATTGCATATTGCATTTGCTACATATTTAAAGTCACAGTATTAGCTCAAAATGTTAATGATACTCATATTTATTGCTACCTAAAGTGGAAACATGGTTTAAAATTTTTATTATGAGGAGTGATCTTACATTTGTTGTGTGTTAAATTCCTAGAAAATAGGCAAAAAGGTGAAAGGAGAAAGTGATTCTCTTATAGAAACAGTTTTTTAGTAAGAGAGTTAAATTTTCTAACACAAGACTGATACTTAATATTTTTATAGCGATAAACACACATTTAATAAGGGTAATCCATTTAATCAGTGACAAATGTTGTAACTATATTTTGTGCTAGTTTTTAAAGATTCCTAAAGATAAACACCATAGACAATCATGTATAAACTGCATACAAGTTCATATAAATTGTGAAAGTTATTATTTTCCCCTATTTTTACTGAATTCTTTCCGATTTTTACCAAAACTATGAGACGGTTAACAGTCTTTCATCAGTGTTATGAAATTCTGAATACGTCCTATATGGATTGTGTCAGGTGTCTTGCAAAGATTTGAGGGCAATAGAGAGCTTTAGTGTTGACTTTTGGACAAACCAATTCAGGATATTTGCTTTGCTGCCCTGCTTGTCTTACATCATGTTCTTAGGATAATCATAGGAATAAATGTTAAAATGGGTATTCATTGTAATACCATAAAGCAGTCTCACTGATTTTTTGAGCTTCTATTTTCAAACATTACCACCTTTTTTTCTGGTGTTATGTAAGTTATTGTTATTAAAATTCAAAAACTAACCATTACCTGCTTAGATGTTATCTGTTTCTTTCTCATTACATTAATGATCCACATGTCAGAAAAAGCTAAAAGATGTCTCTTAAATTGTAAACATAATGAAAGGTGCATCGTTCAATTTGTTCACTATTCCATAAATCCTGTACTTGAAGTATTACTTCTTGTCAACCACTTGAAAAGAGGTAGTATGAAGTGTAACTTGAGAACTAATGTTCCATTTGCCCACAAACATAGCAGGATAGATAGTTCCAAATGAATTTCTTTCAAAGTCCTCTTCTTAGAATAGGACTGTCTATACAATCATTCTGATAATGTGCAACTAACTCTAAGTACATATGGAAACCCTCTTTAGGCAATACCTTCAGATCCAGATAAATAAAGTACAAGAAAAGCAGTTTTACTACATTATAATTACAGCACTCTCTCTTCCCATAATCCTTTGTTCTTAAAAAAATCCTCCTTTTTTTGTTGTTCCTTCTTCCTCTTCTACAACCAGTCTGTTCAAATGAATATTCTGAAGACTACCAGTTCCCTTCTTCCCACTGCACACCAAATGTCTGTGTTATTTGAGTTGTAGACATAAAATGTAAGTTAAACTGTATAAATGCCAACCTGAGAAGCCAAGGAATCAGTTATATTCAAAGTATAATGATGCTAAAACAACACCTATAACTTTTGGAAAAGTTAAGATTGCCAAAAGTAGAACACACATTTTTTCCCATTCATTCACAATATGGTACTATTTTCTGCTTCTAATATAATTTGTGGTTCTGAGGACAGAAATATTTTAGAAGTATCTTAAAACATTTGTTTAGAGTGATGAATAGTACTGTTTAAGACAAAAGAAGTTAGGTGAAATTCATGAAAAAAATTCTAAATTTTAAAGAATGTATGTCACTCAGTTTTATGGCATTCTTTCTTTTATCTATTGATGGGGTTTATATGATCTGCATTATTCCTTAAAAAACATTTTTTTGAGAAATAATTAACTATTTGGATTTCCTATACCTCTTATCATCAGGACTTTTAAATTGGAGCCATATTATGTATCTATTTATTATTTAAGACCTTGCAGTCTAAAGCTTGATATGCCAACTCCACAGATTTTTCATGAAACTCCAGGCAAGCCATGTTGAAATGTCCTTGGTGCAGTGTGACTTCACTTTGGTTTTCATCTCATTTGGCTTCACTTTATTCTATGTCTTTATCTTTGAAGAAAAGTTTAAATGTGTTAAATGCAACAATAAAAACTAGGGAATAGTTTAAGCATATGGGGTGTATATACTGGACAAATTTTGACTTACCACTGTTATTCAGGGGCAAGTTGCTTAGCTTCTCCAAGGTTTCACTTATTTCTTTGTATTGGCAACTTCCGTAGGGCTACTAGAAAGGCCAGATGTGATATTATATGTGAAAGTACCTAAGAAATTGGCACACTAGGCATTCAATAAATTTTCAGTGAATGAACAAAATTCCACACCCTTTGTCCAGTAACAGATTTGTTGGTTTTGAATGTCTTGATTTCCACCGCCTATGTATTTACCTATTAGAAAGACTGGAGATCTTTATTCTTATTCAGAAATAAAGGTCTTCATATGAAGGAGATTTATTTTTACATGCTAGAAAATATTCATGTGTTTATTGTGTCTTATTAATGAAATTTTATTTATTGAAGAAAATGTAAAGATAAAGTATCCAACTTTTATTTGGTCATAAACATCTGTAAAAACTTGATCTAGGTTTCTTAAACAAGAAAGTTCCTTAAATTTCAAAGAGGAAACAGGTAAATCCATCTTTCTTTCCTTTCTCACATTTTTCATACTCTACCTTTCTCCATCATACCCTGTGATCACAACTATCACACAAGAAAACTCTTATTTCAGTTCTTTCCAAGGTTCAAAGAAAGTAGCTGGTAATTGTGGCCTTTGAAAAAAGACAAGGAAAATAGGTAAACAAAGTCATAATTGAAGAATTAGTTTAGTTTTAGCCAATCATTGATGAGCCACTCTCCCTGCTCATGAGGCGAGAACGGATCACAGAGCTGCCATGGCGGGATAGCTGGTCACGAAACTCTGAGGCCATGAAGTAATAGAGAATTGGATCCAAAAGGCAGCAAAGACTTGCAAGACACAGGCTAAAAGGGTGAAAATACAGTGTGCTTTGGCCAAAGAAACAACTGCTAATGATTTTTTCCTTTACCATGCTGTAAAAAATAAAGTTAATATGATAAGGAGTGAAGCAGATGAAGAAGACTGCTGCACACATGAAAACCATCCGCAGTGCTTTCTGTCTTTCACTGATTCCTTGGAAAGCCATTGGTGGCTGTCTCAAGGATATAGTGGTTTTCCAGGTACACCATGCTATGATTACCACTGGGATCACAAATCCTGCAAACTCAGCAACTGTAATCATCCCGACCAAAGCCATTGCATTCATTGGCTTGTAACCAAGATCAGCAAAGCAGGATGCATTTTTGTTAGATGACTCTGTGCTTCTCAGGATTGGAAATGGCAAACAGGCAGTCCCCACGATGACCCAGATGGCAGCACTGATGCCCACATCATACCTACGCTTCCAGTCTCTGGCTCTGAAGGGCTTGAGAAGAAAGAAGCACCTCTGAAGGCTGATGCATGTCAGGAAGCAAATGCTGGCATACATGTTGAGATACTTCAGGTAGAAACACAGCAGGCATAGGGCCTTTTGAAAAGGCCAGTGGTGGCTGATGTAATAGTAAATCCGGAGGGGTAAGGACAGCACATGAGCAAGGTCAGCCACAGATAGGTTGATCATGAAAATGATGGCTTTATTTTTCTTGCTGATGAAGCGGCACAGGACCCACAAGGCTACGCTGTTAGCCAGAAGACCTGGGATGAATATGAGGATATAGGTGGTTGCATAGAGGGAGTTCTGAAATTGTACATTAGGTTCATTACAGTCAGCCTCAGTGGTGCGTGTACTGTTGTTATCCATCTTGAATGTTTCACTGTATTCATCAAGTAAACTGGCTTTATAATCTCTGCCCAAAGCAAAAAAAAAAAAAAAGAATTTAATGGTGAAATCGTTCTTTAGCTAACATATAGATTTCTCTTTTATACTTACAGAGACATAGAATATTAGAATTAGAAGGGATCTCTTTACAGATGAGGAAGTAGAGATTTAAGAAACTTAAACTACTGATCCAAGGTCACCTAATGACTCAGGTGGGGAACCATGAAATTGTCCCACAACTGCCCTCCCAGACTGTGTAAGTTGTGTCTTTCAGGCAAAGGTGTCTTGAAATATTCAATCTCTTGCTTTCACCACAGAAAAAAACAGTATAGCATTTGAATATATTTATTTTGACTCCAAATTTGTCTTACCCAAAGCAGTGTTTAGAGTGAATACTGCTCACTCACTCCCAATTGCAATGACAAAAATTCAGCCTCATCTTGTCTCTCCTTTTTCTCTCAATTGGCTCTTCTTTGTCTATCACTTTCCTCATTGAGTCCTGGATTCCTACCTTGGAACCTCAGCAATTGAAAAATGGCCCTGCCTCCTTGAGCCTGCACTGCCAGTGTCCTAAGTGATTTTCAAAACATGGGGATGTGACTTCCTTATTATCCTAATAGCTTGTGACTCTGAGGTTCTCTTGTCTCTCTTCCTTGGCTTGGGTCCCATTCCAAATTTACATGAAAAACTTCAATCATATATACATTTAGAATATAAAATAGGTTATCTTTTTGTGATCTTGGAAAAGAACAGACCGATTCTGCCTATAAAAGGAATCATGCATTGGAGTGGCCACATTGGCATGGCTGATTATCCAACAATCACAATGAACATTGCTTAGGGCATCAGCAAAACACAACCACCAAAAACATCTTTTGAAAACAATTTAATATTTAATGTTTAAAAAATTAATTAATTATGATAAAGAGAAAACTTTTGGGACTTTCTTAATTATATTTTATGCTTTAGTATGGTTTTTATTATGTATTATATTAGGGCATGGTGATAGTGGAGTAATCTTTAGAGCCTTTTAGAGTCTGGTCATGGAATTACACAGATTACCTACAGATAAGAATAGCAGGAGAGTAACAGACTCATTATTTTGCTTTAACTACCTTGTAGAATTTCAAACTGGGAAAGAACTTTGGAAATCATCTAGGTCAGCCACCACATAATACTGGTCAAAGAAGCAAGACCCAGAAAGAAGAGTTTGTTATGACCACACAGCTACTAAAAGATCTGGGAACTAAAATGGGAGAACAAGGCGCCTTGTCTTTGTATATCCTTCTCCCCATCTTTGTTTTCCTCTCAAAAGCAAAGTTCAAAAACACACCTTCTGTGCCCTTTACAGAAATGTTTACTATATTTAGAGCTAGAAGTTAAAGAAATAAAGTAGTTCCTTAGGTGGGATCGTGGTTTTTGTTGTTATTGTTTTTATTTTGTTTTGTTTCAAGTAAATTTATAAGAGCAAAAGAATGGCCTAGTTTTAGATTCTTCTCATAAGTAGCAGAATGTCTTTCTGTATCACATTAAGTCCTGGTCCAGGAAACAAATATGTGTGATAAAAGAACAGAAGCCCAACTGATGAATTCACAGATGAATATCACAGTCTATGATATTAACTATCATTACTGTAAAGACTGCTTTCACTCTCCCACCTCTTCTATACCATTTCCCTATTTGACCTATTATCTGTGATATGTCTTAAACAGTCATGTAGTCATCTTGTATACGTACATGTGACTTAGAATGAAGGGTGGAGAGGTGTTCACAGGTGGAAAGGAAGAAATAATTATCATGCTGTAACCATCAAGTATGTACCTTAGAATGTGCAATAGAAGTTTTCACTCATGTATCATCTAATTTAGTTCTCACTACTGTCCTAGAAAATAGGAACTATTATCACCCTCAGATGTGGATGAGGAAACTGAGGTTTATAGATACCTAGTAAATAGCCTGAAATAGCAAAGCTAGAAAATTAAAAAGATAAGACTTACTGTCATTCCTGGCTTGCTCCAAAGCCTATGCTATTTCCACTATGCCACCTACCTCTTCCTTTCTAAGAGGGATTACTTAGTAAAGTAAGACCAGCTTCAATACCACGCATTATGACATGTGAAGGGCACATTGTAGCAGAGCCTTTATAAAACCACAGTAGGAACTTATGAGCTCATAACACTAGGATTCCCCTAGTTAGGCAATCAGCATAAAACTGAATACCTGTCAAGTATGCTGCCCATCCCTCCCCACCACCAACTTTGGTTTCAGTATTGGAACTTCTTCTATTATCCATGCTGAGGCTATGAGAGAACAAAGAAAGATGCATCGTTGCATTACAATTCCAATAAGTAAAAACATCTAGTACCCCTCCCCCCACAAGTCATGCTTCCATTTTTCCACTTAACAGTCATAGCTCTTTGTTTCTCCTTCACTGGTTTAGAAAGCTTCACTTACCAAAGGGGCTTGTTCTGTTCCCAACTCTGGATTGAATAACAGAGCCCAATTAGTCCAGAACAGCAAGCTAAAGGTCAAGTTCACACCTTCCTTTTAATTATGGGTTTCCACGCCTCTGCAATTCATAGCTCATTGTCAACACAGAGATTTGCATGACATGCTTTCCAAATCCTCTTTTCTTCTCCAGACTGAAGGAAAGTAATGAAGGTTTTGTTTTGTTTTGTTTTCCCCAAATTCTTTTAGTGACCATTAAATGAAAAATACCCTTGGTTGGGAGAGGCAGGGGGAATTTATTTTGGTTGAACAGAAAACAAAAATACATACTTTCTTAGAGGGAAAATATTTAGCTTGCTGTGGAAAATTTGTGACATTTCCAAAATTTAAGAAAGGACAACCTAAGAAGCCACTGATAGAAAAATGCTGATGAAAGTGTTAAACTCAGAATATGTTCTTTTTCTCTGCCTCTGCCTTTCTCTTTCTCTCTTTTAATCTCTCTCTCTCTCTCTCTCTCTCTCTCTCTCTCTCTCTCTCTCTCTCTCTCCCATTTCTCTCCTTCTAACTCTATCTTTATTGATGATTAATTCTGGATGGTGTGTTTCCTTTGTATTGCCAATCCCTCTTTTCTTCAATCTAGACATATCTTTTGTTCCTGTCTCATAAAGAGATGTGAGATTGGTGAGTCACTCATGAGTCTGTGCTTCCCTTTTCAGTCAGTGCCATGACACTTTTCCCAGACACTCTAGCTGGAAACTAGAGAATCATTCTGAGCCCTGTCACTATATTGCCTCCTGTATCCAATCAGAAACCAGGTGATCCTCCCTCCTAAAAAACTTTCCAATCTATTTCCAGCTACACTGTTACTATCCTAATTCAGGCTACTGTCATCAGTTCTGTGGATTACTGCAACAGCTCCCTTATTAGACTTATAGGACACAAGTCTTGCCCTTGTAGTCTATTCCCATACCATGTCCAACACTAACATTAAATGTGGCTATCATTTAATAAGGGCTACCATTTATTTACAGGGTAAACACTCATTATCTTATTCATCCTCACAGCAGCCTTATGATCATTCCCACATTACAAATGAGAAAGTTGATGCCTAGAGAGGTTAAATAAGTTGCTCTGGATATATAAAATTTACTCAGGTTAGATAGAGTTGATGTATTAGAATTGGAACCTGTGCTTGTCTCCATACTTACTTTTCTCTGTCATGGCACTTGCCAGACTTGTTGATGTTTTGCTAACATGTCTTCTCATTAATTAGATTTTGCACTTTTTAATGGTGGGAACTACATTGTATCTTTACTCCTAATGTTTTCCATTCTTTGGCACGGGTAATCCTTTAAAACATCATGCTATTCCTCTGCTTAAAATATTTTACTGGTTCTTTATTGCTTTTAATATTAAGTCCAAACTTCTCATCATGACCTAAAGGCTATATCTGTATGTCTCTTGTGTCTTTAAACATAACTTCATCCCATTCTCTTTTTCATTCTCTGGATTTCAGCTACACTGAGATGTTTTCACTTGCAAGAGCAAGTCAAGTCTTCTTTTTTTTTTTCCCCCTGACAAAAGCTTCTGCATATTTTATCTTCTCTGTCTGGAATTATCTTGCTCCAAATAGTCACATGTCTGACTCCTTAGTTTCAATTTGTGGGTCAGGAAACCTCCACCACCAACCGTCAGTAGGTGATCCTACAAATCATTGCATATTCTCAGACTCTGCTTTCTTTCTCTTGTAGCATCACTATTCATAATTTCAGTGTTTATTTACTTGTTTCTTGGCTATGTCATTCACCGTTATGCTAACTTCATTAGTGCCATTAAAATATCTATTTTGTTCATCACTATGTAACCAGGATCCATCATGCTACCTATTAAGCATTTAAAGAATAGTTATATAATTGTATTTATATAATTGACTGCATAATAGTTCAATGCCCCTGTTTAGAAGCATTAATAAAAAAAATTTGATACATCAACTGAAACACTTCTGCTACCTGCTGTTTCTCTAAAATGTTGCCTTCTGATTTGGGTTGTTACCATCAATATACCCTGCATCTAACCTTTTAAACTTAGAAAAGTCATTCTTGTAGAGGCCTGAAAGAAGAGCAAATAAATCAATTTTTAAAACCACAGGTGGTCATATATATCCTATGGGTAGAAACCAGCACAATCCAAGATCTTGGAGTACTATCAATATTATTATCTGTACCTCAGGAAGAGGGTAGTCCTTGTGACTCGCTTTCAGGTGCCTACCCACTTAGATGTGGTACCTGAAACAAGAGTGAGGAGGCTGCATCTGTAGCCCCTAAAGTTGTCCACACTTAGAAAGTAAACATAAAGGGAAAATAACTCTGCCTACTTACTTTTTTCCATGGCCTTTGAGGACCCTGGCTTCCTTGGAGCCCATCACTTGATCAGTATCTATTCAACAAGCCCTATTTTATGAACCTGTACTAGGTTCTGTGGAGACTATAGACTAATTCACCATGGTTTCTGTCCTTGGGAAGTTTCTTGTCTTTTGAGAGAAATATTCTTTAAATATTTAACACTACAAT